AAAAAAAAAAAAAAAAAAAAAACACCACCAACAACAAAACCTGAGTCTGGAGAGGGCATTGGGGAAGCAGATGTATACAGCAGTGTCATTGACTGGATACCATGAAGTGGGCCAACAAGGAGGAAGATTTGAGTTCAACGCTCAAGGGCAATCACTGAGCTGGAGCACTCAGGGGAAGCAGAGAAATCCCAGAGAGTGGTGCACCCTCTCTTCTGAAGAGCTGAGTCCTAATCCTACACGGAGGAAAGTGCTCTCCACACAGGACTTTGGATTCCTCTATATTAAAGATCAAGGAAAAAAATAAAGATCTCAAGGACAGGAAGAGGAAAATTACTATGGTAGGACTTGGCAAGCCTAACAGCCATGGACTTTGACATCTCACAAATTGGAATTTGCCAGTACAGAATATATAATATTTTTAAAATAAAGTTGAAATCATGATGATGAAGCAAAAGAACACTATTAGGAATGACTAGGAAAATTTGAAAACAAGAAATTGGAACTTCAAGTAAAAAGGATTCTTGACCTAAAACAAGAAGACCCAGCTAAAGAATTTATGAACTTGAAGAAAAATCCAATAAGACCAATCCTACTCATTAATATCCCCACAGAGATCCTCATAAGCAAACAAAATTCAGCAGTGTATAAAAAAGATTATGTTAGAGCAAGCACGCATTATCAAGCTCACTTACTATGGAAATGTATGCTTAGTCGAACACTGAATAATCTGTGAAGTATAATATATATAACCAATATATTAAGGAGAAAAACAATCATTTCAATATTTGAAAGCATATAATTTAATATAATTCAAAACAAAAATAGAAAGAAAATTGTTTAACCTTAATTTAGGTTAAGTCATCTAAAAAAATCAATCACAAAATTAATTCTTAGTTAATTCTACTTAAATTGTAAAATATTTAAAAGTTCTCTGCCACTATTTTTAGTCACAATTGTTTTGTTAGTAAAAACAGGTGATTAAAGAAAGAGAAGACATAAGACAAAGAAATAAATCTTTATAGTTGACACAAATTTCCATTTTTTTACACAAAAGAATAGAACCTAACATTTTGAGAAATAATAAGAGTTTAGCAAGGTGGATGACTAGTAGTCAAAAATTAGATTCACTTCTATAAACTATCAGCAAACAAATTTGTTTTAAAGGTACTAGTTACAATAGTGGCAAAACTATCAAAACATTGCATGGTATCACCATTATGTGCAATTTTATGCTTTTATGTATCAGCTAAAAATAATTTTTTAATTTTTAAAAATAACCTTTAGATAAAGCATTAAACAAAAAGCAAATAGGTAAGTACAGGATAGTGTCTTAGTGACTTTAACAAAGAAAAAACAAACTTCTTAAAGATAACTTTTCAAAAAGCTTTGACAATTAAATTAAAAATAGATATAGTCAACTACATTAAAATTAAGAATCAATGTGAAGTAGGGAGAAAAGGGCTAAAGGTGTAGGGAAAGTGGGAAGGGTAGGAGAAAAGTAATAAGGGAAAAGAAAAAAATATGAGAAAATGAAAAAAAGGAAATAAAGTGTTTGTAAATGGGGAGGGGAGGGGGGGTGAAGGGAGGGCAGGGACAAGGGGAAAAAATGAGAATCAAGACCTGTCATGTAAAGGTAAAAGATCCCAATAATGAATGTAACTGTACTGTATACCTAAAATGTACCAATAAACTCAATTTAAAAAACTAAGAATCTCTGTTCATCAAAAGACACAGAAAACAATTAAAAACCAAGCCACAAATTATGTGAAGACACAGGGAACACAAGGACTAATAATATAGAATTTATCTTTTTAATGTCTACAATCATGAATGCAAACAAAATGTGTATAAATGTATAGGAAATTGATACAACAGGAAACATAAGCAGCTGAAAAACAGACATTCAATCTGATACCCAAACTGAGAGATGTGAATTTAGAACATAGCAAGGCATTGGCTTTTATCCATCAAATTGGCAAAAATAAAGTCTGGAACACCATTTACGATTGAGGAAACAGAGCAACAGGCACACTCACACAGTGCTGATGGGGGAATATATTGGTCTGACCCTACTGAAGATACGTCTTCTGGAAGAAATAATAGTTGTTTAATTTCAAGAGTATAAAATAATTTTTCTAAGGCAAAGTTTTTCACAATAAGTTCCTTAAATTTTCATTATGTTCTTGAAAGTTAAATGTACACACTCTCTACATGCTAGCAATTTCACTGCTAGAAATATTTCCTGAAAATGCCCTCCATATATTAACAAAAGACATAAAAATGAATATTTAGATGAACCATATTCTGAACAGGAAAAAAAGGAAATAACACAAATGTTAGTTAAAACAGAATGAATGAGTAAAGAGTCTAATGAATGTTGGTATAAATAGTACATAAATAGTGTAATTTAGTTTTGCGACAAAATTATTTACACGCCGTACTAAGTACGATATAGGAATTTCATTAGTAGGTTTAACAAAGGTTATTCAGAAATTGTATTCACCTTGATTTTCTTGGCCTTCATTTGGGCTTTTGCTAATAATGTAAACATGGTCATCTCCGACCTATGCCACGATATCCCATCCAAGACCTGAATGGCCTTGTCATGGTTTTCACAAAATGAATAAATGTGTGCTTGTTGAATGGGACTCAACCCAATGAGACCTAAAAGGAAAAGAAAATTTATCAATACCTCTGCCAAGTGTCATAGGTTTAAAATGTATTATTAAAGAAAGCAAATCAATTCAATAATCTTTATTTATAATATGAATCAATCGATATTATGCTAAAATCTATTTACTACCAGAAAACATTAGGACATTATAAATCAAAGCAGTGAAATGGGAAGCCTGTGTATCCTGTAGTAACCTTGCTCACAAAATTCACTATAGTATGAATCATTTTACCAGCTGGTTATGTATGGGAAACTGAAGTTTCAAAATCTTTGTCATTGGGAAGAAGCCTTCATGTTATTCATACATAGCTGTCACAAGTAGTGTAAAAACTTTAAGTAGATATTACATAACCCAAAACTACACTTTTGTATTAATTATATTTACCTTTGTTTATCTCTGCTACTTGATAAATAGTAAACTTTGCAAGATCATAACATTTCATCATAAGAAGATATTGTCCTCTGGAAGAAATAACAGTTGCTTAATTCTAAGCAGATAAAATAATTTTTCTAAAGCTAAGTTTCTCACAATAAGTTCCTTAACATTTTCATTGTTACAATACATGTGCCCATTTTGTATATATGCATAAAAAGCAGTGTGAAAATTATAGGCATTTTTATAGCAGTGTGAAAATTAGCATGGAGATGTGATAAAACAATTTAGGACCCATGATGTTAAAAAGAAAATAGTTAAATCTTCCCTCGTAACTATCTATATTTAAAATGTTCCACTTTATTGCTGAGAAATTATTTTAAAATAAAGGACCATAAAAAGTAGAAAGAATATATATAAGTTGCCAAAATTTAGTTCAAGCACAAAGCAAGCCTTTATCAGAAACCACTGTTCCATTTCATTCTCCAACGTCTACCAATCCTTAGAAAGTATGATTTTGGTAGTGATTACTTGTGAAGAGTTCATTTATAGCAAGTTCTACTACATCTGAAATAAAATTTTATGTGTCTTTTTTTTTTTCCGCTCCATTAGCTGAGGGTTATGCTTGGTACCTTTGTGGACGAAATCAAAACATATGTTCAAAATGTATTATCTTACTTACATATAGAGAGATATAGATATAGATATAGATAGATATTAGAAAAGCCTTAAAGACATAAGTAAACAGTTGTGTTTTGATGCAAGACAGAGTAAAGAAAAGACCTGGTTATTTTATGTAGGAAGTTACTTTAAGCTTAGCAAAGCTAAGACGTACACGTGGCTTACTGGCTGGGGAGACTCACTGCTGGAGATTAAATGTACAATGAAGAGGTTGGAAGAATCAAGAAAGAAGTAAAGGTCCCAACTGCTCGCTCAGATGCTAAGTTATCCTGGACAGAACTCAACGTGTATGCTCATACCTTATTATATATAGTTGAATTCCATCTGGCTGAAGATGGATAGCACGAGATAACTCATTCACTGCATTTTTCCACTTATGCAACTGTTGAATGATAAACAGAAGTACAGGTTCTAATGAAATTGATTGCTTCCTTTTTTATGTCCATCTCTTCAAAACCTCTACTTCAGAAATTTTCCATGACTTTCTTAAGAATCATCAACACAGAAAAGACATACAGAAGTGAAATAAAGGTTTATGATGCCAGAGTATTTTGGTTTTTCAAAAAATTGACTTTAAGTTTGAAGAACAATTACACATATCTGCATAAATGTATAAACTTACAATAATGTAATTGTGTCACACATTCTAGATTGTATGTGTTCTCCTTTTTCATTTTCCTTCTCAGATTTTTCTTCCTGAACTATAAAACCTGTTTCATAAAATTTCACCTATATTAATAAACTAGCACACAAAAAATTTTTTAAATAAAGTTAAAGCCAATTCTACGTAAAAAATAAGGGAGGAAAAGCAAGATTGCTTCAAATTAAGTAAATGAATGGATAAAAGAAAATAAAAAATAGTATAAAAAGATCTACTGAACAAAAATATGTAAAGAAAAATGACCACTTATTCCTTTCTTTTTTTTAATTGCCAGTGGCTTTTATTTACATTGATCCGAATTTGTTTCACTGAATTTCATCGTTCTTCCATATTGTTTTTACAATAAATTTATAAATCATTTTAATCAGGTCAAATAATATTGTAATATAATAAGGGAAATGTTCCCCTATTTGATAATCCCACTTTCCAGATGAAAATACTATTAAATATTTGGTGTGCATTTTTCATACTGTAAAGTATATAAAATATACATATATGTGCATATGTTTTTATGAATATGCACATATTATAAAAGATACTATGATAGTAAGCATTCTAACACAAATAATTTTTGCACTTGAGCTACAGTTGTTATTTGGATAGAGACAAAATTCTTCATTTGGCCTATGTAGAAAATAAGGCTGACCTTTCTGTATGAACCATGGTTAAAGTGTAATGAATACCTCCGTGGAAAAAGTTTCTATGGATGCTGCACCATCTTTCCTCCCAAATGCGCTCTTCTACCCCGTGTTCAGATCCCATCCCAAATATCACTTCTTGATGTTTCCAACTAGTTTACTACATATTTTCTCATTCATCTTCCTTGTACTTGTCAGAGAAAAACATACACACCCCTTAGGCAACATTATTTCTATTTTTGCTTCTGATTTTAAACTCAAAATATAAATCAATACCTACCACAGAGTAGGTGATTATGAACTACTTTAAGTGACTAATGAATAATTGTAATACATTTAAATACCTTATAAAATATTAATTTGGTTACTTTAAACTTGTGTTTTGATGGACAAAGCAAAGAAAAGCAGTCTCACTAGAATCTGCCAAATAATTGAAGCCACACGGAAAACTTAATTGTAGCCCTAGAATCTTTCAGACTTCAGTCCTCCAGAACCATAAGATGACAAATATGTGATATTTAAGGGTACTAAATTTTTGATATGTTTGTAACAACAGTAATAAGATACTAATAAAACCTGCAGACTTTTGATAATTAAAAACTCAAAAATCATTAAGGACATAAAAGAAAGCTTGCATACATATTTTAAAGATAAGAATTTTTCCCAAAATTAATACATTTATTCCTTTCTTAATACTGGTCACAGAATCATAGTCTGAATGTGTACACATTTGGGAACAAAATTAACTGCTATTGCAAATATACCAAAGAAGCACTACACAGACCCTCCCCCAAAAAAACACCTGGAACAACCAGCAACTTCTCTAACTATAATGACACATGAGGAGAAAAGAGAATGCACAAAATTAATTTGTGCATGGAAGTAAGCCATACCTGTAGTAAGTAACTGCTTGCAGGAAATAGTAAAATTGAAAGAGGGAAAGTTTGAGAGTTGTTTAAACCAATTGAAGCACTTCTCAAGACTGTTGCTTCTTGAGCTACTCCAGCTCACACTGTTGCAGTTAACAAACCATGTAGTCATATGTTGCACTACTGTACCTGTGCTACCCACCAGCCATTTCTCTGCCTTGGGGAAACCCTGGTCTGGGACAGATGGAGGTTCAGTGTGCATGAACAGCTTCCCAAGACTAGGCTTCTCCAGGAAGCCTTAGAGTACAGTACTGCGGAGGTTGAACCCACAGAGTAGGAGAATGTATTTTTCAATATACATACACAAGGCTTCTTTTTAACTGATTTATTTTCATGTATCATATTATATATACATACACTCTTTTCTTACCCAAACATATTTCATGGAAATTCTCCAAACTCAGCTGGAAGAATTTTATTTATTCTTCTTATTGACTATTATATTCCATAATGTAAATATACCACTATGTATTAAACCAAAGTTGTATAGACATTTTTCCCCTGAACAAAAAATAGCTTCTGAATATGCATCCTTACACTCTGCTGTCATGCTGCTACTTTGGTTTCCGTGTGTTCAGAGGGAACACCAACGTTCTCAAAGGGCCTGAGCTTCATCAATGGGGTTAGGCTATGCAAAAGAGTCACACACTGTAAATATCCACATCTTCCCCAGCAGAGGTCAAGAACCAGCCTTCCCAGGAGAGAATACTGAACCTGCCCTGGGTCTTCTACCTCCATCATCTGGAAGGTAAAGACTTTGAATGGTACTCCAGGTCCACTGGATCCTGTGATGTAGACAATGGAAAGAAAATGCAGGCAATCCTCAATGGACAGGTAGTGTGAGCACAAAATGTGTCTTGATGTTTTAATATGGTGATTCTGAAGTTGTTTTCTACAGCTGCATAACCTATGTATGCTACACAGACTGAAGCTAGTATATCCAGACAATTTTTAAGAAACAAGGGCAGAAAGAAAATGAATAGGCATCTTCTATAGAATCTCGTAGGCCTTTGGCTTTTGTAGACTTTGGCTTTCAATCTAAGGGCAAAAGGAAGCTACTGAAGGTTTGTGAGCAAAGAAAAACAATATGACCGTTCTGCTTGGACTTCTGATGGACACTATGTTGCAGCTCCATCAAAACAGTGAAGAACAAAAGCAAGAAGACTGGGAGGCTATTGTCATAATGCTGGTGAGGAATTGCAGTGTCTTGCAGTGGGCAGTTAGGAATTACAGTGTCTGGGTAGGAAACGGTATCTGCTTAAAGGATGGAGAACAAAGTACAGCGGTTATCTCTGGAAGATCAGGTGTAGCTGGAGTTGGAGAGGACTTTTACTATTTACTAAATTTCTTGAATTTACTACGTTAAGAATACAGTACACCTTTTAAACATTTAAATAATACATAATATTTAAACATAATAAATAAAATAAATAAACATTTAAATAATAAAGGAAATTACAGTTAAAATACCATTCTAGAGACATATCCTGTACATTCACAAATACATACATGCACACACACACAAATTATATGGATAAATTCCAAAATTTTAAGAGTAGTGATCTGGAGAGAATGAAATTATGGACAGTTTTAAATTTTATTAATTTTCATAAACATATATTATTCATTATAAATACCTAACCTATAATAAACATATATTGTTTCTATAATAAGGAAAAAGCAAGTACTATACTATATTTACAATGAAAGTTATAAGATATTTTCTCACAAATAGAGGCTTTATAAGTAGAATTAAATATATCTGCTTAACACTTACTGGTTACAAATTCATTAGCCTCTATAGCTAGTTTAAAAATATGTTAATGGATTATGAGTTGAGCAAATATCCAGAAAATTAAAAATTTTTTAAATTCAATGTTCTCAAACCTTAAATACCTTAGAATAGGCTTCTGCTCTACACATGTAGCTCTGAATATATGAAGGATCAATTCTAATAGCCTCCGAAAAATGCCAAATGGCTTCAGTGTAGTTATCCAAATGTAACATATATATGAGACCAATATTTATATAAGCCAAAGTAGAAGTTCTATAAAAACAGAAAGAAAAATCTTGTTAGACATTTTTAATTATTTCAAATGTTTTTCCACTATGAAAGAACCCAATAAAATATATGCATCAATACACTACAGTGTTTTTAAATGTTTACTAATGCCAGCACAAATTTGTTAACTACCCTTTGTTAGAAATTAGAAACACCCAGCTGAGCACAGTGGTGCAAGCCCTTATCTCCATTGCTCTGGGAGGCTGAGACAGGAAGATCTCAAGTTCAAGGTTGTCCTGGGCAATTTAGCAACTTAAGGGAGGGCAGGGACAAGGGGAAAAAATGAGAACCAAAACCTGTCATGTAAAGGTACGAGATCCCAGTAATGAATGTAACTGTACTGTATACCTAAAATGTACCAATAAACTCAATTTTTTTAAAAAATAAATAAATAATGTGTGTTTTTCTATAAAATGGAATACTACTCAGCCATAAAGAATGAGAAATTAGATTCATTCATAGGAAATGGATATATATTGAGGATATACTCCTAAGTGAAATAAATAAATAAACCACACATGTGTAAATACCAAATAGTTTCTCCGGTGTGAAAAACTATAATAGTAAATAAGATCCTAATGAGATGACTGACATTGTGAAATAGGAAGAAAAGGGCTAAAGGTGTAGGGAAAGTGCGAAGAGTAGGGGAAAGGTAATAAGGGAAAAGAAAAAAATATGAGAAAATGAAAAAATGGAAATAAAGTGTTTGTAAATGGGGAGGGTGAAGGAAGGGCAGGGACAAGGGGAAAAAATGAAAATCAAGACCTGTCATGTAAAGGTACGAGATCCCATAATGAATGTAACTGTACTGTATACCTAAAATGTACCAATAAACTCAATGAGGAAAAAAAATAAAAAGAGCTGGAAATGTAACTCAGCACAAAGATCTTGGATTAATTCAATCCAGCACCATATACACAAAGAAAAAATTATAAACATTCTTAATAAAATCCTCAGTAAGGAATTAATAATAGTAGTCTGTGCTAGAAACAGATTTTGTGAAGTCTCGTACATTCCTGGTAATACTCTACCCTTCCTTCACTTAATCTCGAGTTATCTTGAATTATAAGCTTAGTTTTCCACAACTCAGAGAAGTGTTTGCTTCAGGCCGTGATTATCAGTGAAAAGCTGTAGAATTATTCTGTGGTTTAATGGCTTGGGTTAATAATTCTCTCCACATTGATATTTACACAGCTACTGTGCTATTTCAAACAAATGTTGTTTTTCTCTCTTAGAATCAAATAACTTTCAATATAAAAATGACCTTAGACATTACCCTGTTCAATACTTTCTCTCTCAAAATGAGGAAACTGCACAACCAATCACCCACCCTCATGGAAACCCTGACTCTTTTCCTGGACTTCAAATTTTCTGCCACAAAAAAAGTTTCCAGTGATTCTTTGCACCTGAAGCTCTTCTTTTCCTCCCTGCCAAAAAAAAAAAAAAAAAAAAAAAAACACATTTCACGACTTTCCTGAGCTAAATTCAAAGTTTACCTTATAGCACTAAGTAAACAGTCTGTTGGTTGGCATGGAAGTAGCATGATTTGTTACTCCTCTGACAACTTTTATTTTTATGAATGCCTCATTGGAAAGAAGAGGAGTTATTCCGATTAAATTCCACATTTATCAGCTGGCTTTCTAATGTGTTTAACTTTCAGTCTGCATTTTCTTCACGAATCTATGGTTTAAATGGCACTTTTTTTCTTCTGTTTTACTAAACAAAATGAAGTTAATAGTTCCAAATAGAGGGTTTCCTTCCATTGAGTTGCATTTTGTGCATGGCAAGATGTATCAGGCAGAATGTTTTATCATTATTTTAAAACCTGTTGAAAGTGTTTTAGTAATTTAACTTCTAAAAGTGCCAGTCTTTTTTTTTTATTACCCATAGTCTTAACTCCGCAAACCCATTCAACCTCTAAAGTTCACAAAAGCACCTAAAACAAATACGTTAGTCATAATCTTACTTGGGGTACTATAATTCTAGGACAAATTTGCAAATAAGCTGATGATGAAGGGGAGAGGCTTTTTCTTTCATTTTTTACAATTTTTCTTACTTTTACACAAAAGTGAAATCAGTATGAAAAGGAAAACATACCTTTCGAGGGAAATGACGGTTTCAAAATCACAAATTGCCAGCAGCCAAAGTTTTAGATGTGCGTAGACGATGCCACGATGTAGAAAACAACTAAGATTCTCATAGCCATTATTTATGAGAGCTTAAAAATAAAAGTGTATATATTATTCAGGTTCTGGACAACCATATCTGAACCATATTTTAGTCTAAAGAAAAAGTCAGTTGCAATGTTGGTGGTTGCTCTAAAAAAAAGTGGAGAAAACCTTCTTAAAGAAAATAATTACAATTATGCAATAACCTCTTTATGCTCTGGTTTCAAGCAAATTTATTGGAGGGGCAGAAGGGAGGGCAGGAGAATGGGGAAAAAAAATAAGAACCAAGATAGATTACATAAAGGTAGAAATTTCCAATGATGAATGTTATATTGTACACCTAAAATGTACCAATAAAATTAACTTTTAAAATTTGGACAATGAAAATATCTCAAATCATTATTTGACTATTAATTGGCATATTCTCTTTGCAGCACTTAGAACAGTGTTTAGGAAATAGCAAAATGCCCAATAAATATTAGGTGGTATTATTATTACCTTAAAAAATATCTCGATCTTTTTTTATTATGATGATGACAAAACTCCTTAAGTTAGCCTATTAGAAAATATTGAGGCCAAAATCAAACTAGTTTGCTGTATTAAATTAAATAATAGAGATTTTCTTGTGCGATGGGAGTAGGAGAACTAAAGAGACAAAAACTTGGAAAAGAGGAAAATATAAGAAACCAGTCTTTAGAAAAAGACCAGGGAGATAGGGGTTAAGCTGCATTGGAGATGGACAGGGCCAATGGAGCCAGATAAACATGGATCTGCAAGTTTTAAGTTATGTGCTAACTGTATTCTCTGAACCCTAAAACATTCAGTAAGAGTATTACATACAATCTGTTGGTGTGGGGGTTACATTGGGGAATCAAGGAAGAACTTGGGAAAAAGCAAAGCAGAGAAAACAGTAGCCACAAGAAGTCAGTGCATGAGGAAAAATAGGGAATCAGCCTTGAGGAGAAAATGGACAAATCTTTACAGGAGAATCTTTAGACCACTTTCTCAAGAAAACTCAGAAGCAGAGCAAAGGCACTAGACTCCTCTTGGCACATAGGGGGCCAACTGAGTTATTTTATTTGGATATTGATGGGAAGAGCAACCCCATAAAGCAAATGGACTTAAAGATATTTAAGCAACTATCATCACAGATCTCTTTCACTGTGAACCTAGTTGTCCTCTGATCTCTAGATACCGCCTCATCTATGATGATGGACCTTGCATCCATGTTAACACAGCCATTTGGTGTGCTGGACTCTGGCTGCATTTTATCATCAGAGTGGCTCACTTATTTGGTTTACTTGTTTACTGAACATTTACTTCTGTACCAGACACCTACGTGAACTAGGAATTTATTAACTTATTGTAAGGTAAAAGTAGCCATTTTTATCTGATCACATTCCCTAGCTTCTGAGAATTTTCAAAGTCTCTTTTAAGGTAAATTTCAAAAAATTGGAGAATTGACAAATACATGGGCTGAGTCTGAGAATAGGACGCAAGCCACCAGCACAAATAAACATTTCACTGCTCCGACTAGGAAATAGAAATGAGTTTCCAGGAATATACTCCAGAAAATAACTATCATATCATTTGTATGATATGAGTCTTCCCTTGCCATACACACATGCATAAATACACAGGTGCACATGCATACACACTCACACACTATAAGGGGATGCAAGAAAACCTGTAGTTTAATCACTGTGACTTATAAGAATATATAGACATATATGACATAGTATCTAAATAAGTATTTAACACATACGTATATACACATCAGTATACACTAATATACATATCATACTAGTGGTATATTAATATTCCCCTCTATAAATCTGAGCTGGTCAACCCTAGATTAGATTTTTATATATATGCAACTGGAGGCAAAGTACCTGAAACACTATAATCCTGTAGCGCTCTAAGAGGATTACTCTTTCTATGTATGCATGCTCGATAATACAATGCTATCCAATTATTAGGATCTAAGTGAATAGCAATAGAAAAGTCTTGAGTTGCTTGTTTATAAAGGTGCCTTTTAAAATGTGCTTTCCCTCGGTATGTCCTAGAAAAACAGAAAATTTTATTTTAACATGTACAACAAGATATTCATCTTTATTCTTATCAAATCTATTCACCTAATTTTTAATATTTCAATATCAATTTGTGATTGTTTCTCCTTGTTTATCAAAAGTGGTGAGCGATGAGCTTTACAGCAAAAAAATGAACTTTTTATAAATAAGGAATATTTTATTGTTTACATAATTATATACTTATTATTAATTACATGCTTACCAACTTTATTTCATTTCTTTTACGTTGAGAACAAACCTTTTTGAAACCGTGTAAAAATTTTTCTCTGATTATTGAACTGTTGTGGTTCTCCACTTCTCCAAAAGGGCATTAGTTGAGAGAGGAAATTAAATTGGTTGGAGAAAAAAGAAAGTTAATTCAAGGCATTGTAAGATAGCGTTGGGTCTCATTTTTTATACTGAAAAATCTGTTTTCATCTCCTTGGCAACAGGGGGTCACTGAAAGAAAATTCTGGGGACAAAAGGTCTTTATTATGTAATGATCAAATCTGATCACTCCAGATCTAGGAATGATGTCATATAGAATCCTAAGTGTGTGCTGATAAAGGATAAAGTATCAAGGCAGTGGAAATGAAAAAAAACAGATATAAAAGTCAGTGTGTTTGAAGCATTAACCTTTCTTAATGGTGAGCTGCAAAGAGTATTAAAAAGGTTTATACTGTAAGACTTTAAATTAGAATCATATATATGATAAGTAAAACAATTTATAGTTAGTAATGAAACATATTCTTTAGTAATGATTAATAATTTAAAATAAATATAAAAGTTCAATTTATTAGAAAATAAATAAGGCATTTCTTAAAGAAGTACAAAAAAATATTTTCCTCCAAGGGTAAATTATCGTAGGTCTCAAGATGGTTCCTGTTCTTGAAATACATCTATTGGATGTAAACTGTAATATATTCAGAAGTGAACAATTTCTCATTTTGAAGAATAAAAAACATCTAATTCAGTTGACATTTTTCTAAGAAAAATGGAAGACTTAATTCATATTGAGACAGTGACTAAATCCTGAAATCAAATTCTGACCAAAATCTATTTAAAACTTTTACTATGAATTATATTAAGAAATCTTCAAATAAAGAAAATTCACTATAGTTTAATTCCATCTAAAATGATGTCTAAGAGGCATATATCCCTCAAAATCAGCCTATGAATATGAGCATCTTATAAATTGATCACAGGAAAAATAAATTTTAAATAAGAATTAAAAAGATACTCTTTGGAATAAAGAATAAAAGATTCAAAATGTAGAACTATTACATTTTTTGATAAACCCTAAAACCATTTCAAATGATGAAGAACCCTATTATCACTAAAATTATTAAGTTAAATCAATATAATGATTTAAAAAAGAGTTGAGAGACTAGCAAAAAAAGACAATGCAAAACTCAAAATTCCGTTCTTTGACAAAAATAATGAATAAACTTCCCTAAAAAGACTGTCAGGATCAACATTTTGGGAACACTGGATTATAATTTAAAACCTATAGCAACTAAGGCAATGGTTAATAAAGCGGGGGGGGGGGCTGCTGGATTCTGCTAAGAAAGCTCTATCTGTGCAAGCCTCCCTCATCGGGATTCCTCACTTTCCACATCAGTGAAGGCCTTAAGAACAGCCCACTCTCCTAGTACCCAGTTTACTGCTAGGAAAGGGAGCATTACGGACCTTTGCTGGAGGAATAGTGCTTTTGTGTTTTCATTTGTTCAGCGGGTCATGGAAGGATTAGTTCAAGAACTCGTCTTTGTTTTGTCGGCCTCAGAGCTTTCCCAGAACAGAAGTGCCTTCCTGGTTGTTGTTTACCAAAGATATTTAAAGGCAGGTATGTTAACTGCTGCCACCTAGATCAACAGCTAACAGTTTGGGAGAGCAATAGAAAAATATGGTCAGGAAGAGCTGGAGAAAGAGGTACTTGGGAGGCATTACAATTTAGATCTAAAATAATTCCCAAAGTTTCATGTGCTCAGAGGGGGAGCTTTTGGATTGGATCATAGGGGCACTGTGATTAATCCATTGATGAGTTCATAGCTCATTGTGCTGTTAGGAGATGGAGCCTTGTTGGAGGGGGTAGTTCCCTGGGATCATAACCTAGAAGGGTGTATTCTTATCCCTGGCTCCTCCCTTCTTTCTCTGGCTTCCTAGTTGCCGTGGGGTAAGCAGCTTTTCTCTACTATGCCCTCCTTCCATGGTGTTTCTGCCTTGGAGCCAGTTTACCATGGACTGAACCTTCTGAAGCCAGGAGAATGTTTACCTTCGGGGGGGGGCAAAGAAAAAAGATTTCCAAAGAGCTGAATGTTTTTTTTTTCGTGACTTGGCAGTGGTTATAGGAGTATTTACATATGAAGTCATTAAGGTGTAAATTTCTATTTTATAAGTTTTTCTTTTATATGTTTAGATGTTTTTCTTTCTGGACGCAGCTTTACAAGTACAGTTTAAAACTGAAAATTGCAAATGAAAAGATTAGTAATGACTATTCACACATTTCAGTTCTCTTCAAAACCTTAGATTAAAAGGAAAACAAGAAAATGAAAACTACATCGTGCATAATAAGGTTAGAAAAACAAACTTTAATACACATTACAATATACACAGAAATGTATATGAGCAATTCTCCATACTTTGTAGATGCAAGTGATGTGTATGAAAAATAAATTTAAGGAAGTAAAATACAGGTAGTGGTGAGTGCTTTAGAAATGTATAATGTACCATATATCTAGAAAATGCAAATGAAATAACTCTTACTTTTCATTTATACCTGTTACATTAAGTCACCCTTTACTATTAGGATGTACGCAATGTTTTCATTTACTGGTGGCACTGAAAATTAATTAGTTGCTGTTAAAGGGTAAATGGATGTATGTCAAGCAATACTCCTTCATGAAAAGTCTTTTAAATATTAATAATTTCAAAAAACATATTTTGAAGTAATTCGTACCATGCTTCAGAATTTTGCGGCTCTATATTTAACAAAGCTGTAAAATCTTGTATGGCTGAAGTCCAGTTTTCATTTTCGTAGTAAAACTTCCCACGTTTCAGTAAAGCATCTGTTCTTTTGGGGTCATGAAAAATACACTATAGAGGAATAGGGAGGTATATAAACATTTCATACAAAGAACTGAGAAAAGAAAGCAAATTCTGATTACATAAAAGAAAACAACTATAAGATAACAAATTTTTCAGAGTTACATTTAAAAGACATACTAATAAATCCATCCATACTCACATTCTTTAGTGGGAATATTTTCTAAGAAAAAAGAAAAACCAGCTTACACAAGAAACTGAAATTTTTGCCCACTGAATTGTTCAGTAAAATTTCATAATTGAATTGTGACAATAGAGTAAGGTTGTATTGGATTTCTCACAGTATTTTGCCCTAATTAAAAATCAAACATATCACATCAGTGCAGATTCAATCAAATCAAAAATGGATTAAAGTAGAAATAGTTCCTAAAATGAGGGAAAGAATTGGTGGTGACCTGGTTCATACATTTCATATTAACACAAAGCCACAGAGTGAACAGACTGGACCATTATACACTCTGTTGTAAAACTCCTCACTCAGCAGTACTGGGAAAGACCACAGTCATTCACACACCTGTGCACAAAGGCAATGACCCAGCACAGAAGAGCTTACCAAGTATTTTCAAACAGAAAAAAATCAGTGAAGAACGTGAGGCTTATTTGACCTCGAGGTGCTCAATTAATTTATTTTTAAACTGTTAATGCTGGAGAAAATACAGAATCAAAACATTTGGGTCTTTTCTAAAACAGAAGTTACAAAATTTATAATTTTTGCCCCAAGCAAAGTTATGTCAGTCAATGACTAAACCACATGGATGAATTAAGAACCAGGGCAGGTGGGAACTAAATTACTTGTTTCTAAGTTCTAAGAGAAAAGAAAAAATTGGAAAAATGGAAACAAAGTCTTTGTAAATAGGGAAGGGTGAAAGGGGGTGAAGGGAGTGCAGGGGAAGGGGGAAAAAATAAGAACCAAGACACAATATGTAAGGGTACAAGATCCCAATGATGAATGCACCAATAAACTTAATGGAAAAAAAAAAAAAAAACAAATCCAGTAATGGATGTTTAGAAAAAGCAGGGCCACTTTGCAGTCCTGCCACTGCTTACAGCCCAGGTCCAATGAACAGAACATCTTGGAAAAGGTTCAAACCTCCCAGGGAAGCAGCCAGTCTGGTTGATGGGTGCCCAGGCTTGCAGCTACCAGGAAGAGGCACTGAGGGATCTGTGAGACAGTGAGACTCACACAATGACTGTGCTCAGTGGGATCCAGGAGAGGAGAAAAGGCACAAGAGCAGTGTCCCTCTCCACAGCCCCCAAACACTGCTGAGGTCTGTGCCTGTGTAAGTTCCCTCCTGCTTCCCCCAGACGCTGCTGAAATCCATGCAGAAAGGATTTCTTCTCCTGAGCCCCTAACGCCACTGGATTTGCCAGCTGGAAAGACCTCCTTTGTGAAACTAAAATACTGGGATATAGGATCAGCTCTGGTGGAGAAAACAATCCAGATCAGTGCCTGTGCAGGCTATTTCCTGCTGGCTCCCAAGATCACTAAATCCTGGGTCAGACTGAAACTCAACGAGCAGGAGTACTGCTTTGACCTGGGAGTAAAGGGAGCAGAGAAAAACCATCAGAATGGCATGCAGGAGTGGGGATATGGCCTCCTGGCTGACCATGGAGAATTGTTGAAGTTGCCAGCCAGACAAAGGCTGGGTGGAAATGAAGCATAACTGCAAAAGAAAAGTGAAGGAAACTGAGAGACATGAATCGGGCGAAGCAAATAGCACAGCCTGTGATGGAATCTCAACTGGGAGTCTAAGACTGCAGCCAGTCAGAGGGAGGAGACTTGCAACCTGCTGCCACTCTGAGAGCAACAGAGGCTCCGAGTGTGGCACCTTCTGTATGTTCTTTATTTGTGAGTGTGAGTGTGTGTGTGTGTGTGTGTGTGTGTGTTTATAGCTGCATGTATAAATTTTCTACTGTTGCTTGTAAAACATTCTATGTAGTTAAGTCATCACATACTTGCATGTCAAAAGTTGCTTCTCGGTAGAATCCAGATGTGCTTGACTATCACTTCAACAACTAGGTAACTCCCTATATTTTTCTTATGTCCCATCTATAATTTCATCCATTTCCTTTTGTTATTTCTCCCTTACAACTTCTCTTATCTTGAAGCTCTTATCTCTTTCCCATATGTTTTCTTATCTTTATCACTTTTTCTATTCCTTTCTTATAATTTTTAATTAATTTTATTGGTGCATTTTTAGGTATACAATATAATGACATGACGTTCATCATTGGAAATTTGTACCTTTATGTAATCTATCTTGGTTCTTATTTTTTTCCTCATTCCCCCCTCTTCAACCTCTCCAACCCTCCCTACTTACAAAGACTGATTCCATTTTTTCAATTTCTGATATTAATTCTTTTCCCTTCTTTCCTTTCTTCTGTCCCTCCATACCTCCCCTTCCTCCTTGCCTCTTGTCTTCCTAATTCACATTTCTATTACAACACTTGGTCCTTATATACACTTTCAGTTTCTCACACTAGAGAAACTATTCGGTATTTACAAGTGTGTGTCCTGTTCATTTCACTTGAGAGTATCCCCTCAATAAGCATCCTTTTAGCTATAAATGTCTCTAATTTCTCATTCTTTATGGCTGAGTAGTATTCATTTTCACACACACACATTTTCTTTATCCAGTCTCCAGTTGATGGGCAATTGGGCTGTGTTCCAAGTTTTAGCTGCTACAAACTGTGCTGTTATGAATATGACTGAGCACATATCACTGTGGAATGATTCTTTTAATTATTTTGGAAAGATACCCAGCAGTGGAATGGCTGGGTCAAATGGGACTTCAAGTCCTAGATCTTTGAGGTATCTCCATACTGATTTCCAAAGTTGCACCAGTCTACACTCCCACCAGCAGTGGAGAAGGGTTCCTTTCTCCCTATTGCCCTGCCAGCATTTGTTATTGGTTAATTTCATGATAGCGGCCATTCTTTCTGGGGTGAGGTGGAATCTCGGTATTGTTTTCATTTGTATCTCTCCAATGACTACTGATGCTGAATATTTTTTCATATATTTGCTGCTTTTACATGTTTGTCTGAGAAATGTCTGTTTACTTCAGATATCCATTTTTGGATTGGTTCTTTAGATTTGGAAGGTCTGATTTTTTTTTAATTCATTACATATTCTAGGCATTAGACCTTTGTCTGAGGAAGAGTTGGTGAAAACTTTTTCCCACATTGTGGGTTCTCTCTTCATTCTGTTGGTGGTTTCTCTTGCAGAAGCTTTTTAATAAAAAGAGATGCCACTTGTTGATTGTTTGTGCTAGTTCATGTACAACTGAGGTTTTGTTCATAAAAAGTTTTCCTAGGTCAATGCCTTCAAGTGTTCTACCTAACCTCTCTCTTCCAGCCATTTTAGTGTTTCTGTTTTAAAATTTAGATCTATAATCCATTATTTTAGTTTAGTGCATGATGAGAGGTATAGGTCTAGTTTTAATCTTTGGCAAGTTGAATCCAGTTTTTCCAGCACCATTTATTAAAGAGGCTATCTTTCCTCCAGTGAGGGTGTTTGGGTACTTTGAAGATGAGGTGGCTGCATGTGTCTGAAGTTGTTTCTGCATCTTCTAATCTGTTCCACTAGTCCTCAGGTCTGTTTCTTTGTCAGTACCATGCTGTTTTCATCACAGTAGCTTTGTAGAATAGTTTCAAGTTGGGGATCGTGATACCCGCTACCTGTCTTTTTTGCCTGGAATTACTTTTGCTATTCTAAGTCTCTTCTTGTTCCAAATGAATTCTGGGATTGTTTTCTCAAGGTCCCTGAAGTATGCTGCTAGAATTTCAATTGGGATTGCACTGAATGTATAGAATGGCTATTTGGAAGAATAGCCATTTTCACTAAATTGGTTCTTCCTTCCCAGAAACAAGGGATATCTTTCCATATTCTGATATCCTCTTGGATCTATTTTTTTTTTCACGGTGCCATAGTTTTCAGAGTAGTTGATTTCATTCATTAGGTTGATTCCTCATTATTTTAATTTTTTGACTGCTGCTATGAAAGGAATTGTTTGGCCCATTTCTTTCTCAGTGAGTCTTTTGCTGCTGTACAGGAAAGCTACAGATTTTGGTGTATTGACCTTGTATCCAGCTACCTTACTAAATTTGGTTATTAAGTCTAGAAGACTTTGGTGGAGTTCTTGGGATCTTCTATATAGAGTATCATGGCATCTGAAAACAATGACAATTTGAGTTCTTCATTTTCTACTTTAATTGCTTTTATTTCTTTCTCTTGTCTAATTGCTAGGACTAATGTTTCCAAAACTATATTGAACAAGAGTGGTGATAATGGACATCCTTGTCTTATTCAAGATTGTAGTGTAAAGGATTTCAGTTTTTGACCATTTAGTATGGTATTGGCTGTTGGTTTTTCATAGATGGTTTTTATCAGACTGAGGTAGAGAACATCTATACCAATTTCCTGTAGGATTTTTATTATGAATGCATGTTGGATTTTGTCAAATGCTTTTTCTGCATCAATTGAGGTGATCATATGGTTTTTGTCCTTGGCTCTATTAATATAGTGTATTACATTTATTGATTTGCATATGTTGAACCATCCCTGCATCCCTGGGGTGAATTCCACTTGGTCAAGTTGTACGATTTTCTTGATGATCTTCTGCATTCTATTTTCCAGTATCTTATTAAGGATTTTCATATCTATGTTTATTAGTGAGATTGGCCTATAGTTCTCTTTTCATTTGGGTCTTCCTGTGCTTTGGAAATCAAGGTTGTGCTTGCTTCCAGGAATGAATGTGGGAGTATTGCTTCCCTTTCAATTCCATTAAAGAGTTTAAGCAAATGTCTTGTAGAATTTAGTGATGAACGCATCAAGGCCTTGGCTTTTCTTAGTTGATAAGTTTTTAATTATGTTTTCAATTTTGTTGATATTGGGTTGTTTAGAATTTTTAGGTCTTCTTCAATCAACTTTAGTAATTCCTATGTGTCTATGAAACTGTCCATTTCTTCTGTGTTTTTCATCTTATTGGCATATAGGTTCTTGAAGTAGGTATTGATGATTCTCTGGATTTCTGCTGTAATTTAACCCTTTTCATTCCTAATTGTATGAATATGGGCCTTTTCTTTCCTTTTTAGATAAAGTTTGCTAAGGGTTCATTGATTTTATTCTTTTGAAGAACCAACTCGTTGCTTCATTGATTCTTTTCTATCATTCTCTTAGTCTCAATTGCACTGATTTCTGCTGTGATCTTTGTAATTTCCTCCCTTGTGTAAGTTTTGGGATTGTCCTTCTCTTCTTTTTCTAGAAGCTTGAGGTTCAGCATCAGATTATTTAGTGGCATTCTCTGCTATTAATTTCCCTCATAAGAGTGCTTTCATTGTGTCCCATATATTCTAATACATTGTAATGACACTGTTTAATTGTAGAGACTGTCTGATTTCTTCTTTAATTTCCTCTGTGATCCACTGTTTATTCAGAAGTGTGTTGCTGAATTTCCATGTGTTTATGTCCTTGTGGTTTCTTTTGCTATGGATCTCCAATTTCATCATACTATGGTCTGATAATATACAGGGGATAAATTCAATTCCTTTGCACTTACTTAAACATGTTCTATGAGTAAGTATGTGGTCTATTTTGAAGAATGACCTGTGTGCAGCTGAAAAGAATGTATATGCTGATTTTGTAGGGTGGAATATACTGTAAACATGTTAAATTCATTTGTTCAAGAATTTGATTGAGTTCAAGTATTTTGTTCTTTATTTTTTGTCTAGTTGATCTATTTGTGACTGTGGGGTTTTGAGATCCCCCACTACTATTGCATCAGAGCTTGATTTTTCATTTCCATTAGTATTTGTTTTATATACTTGGGGGCACTAGTGTTTGGTGAATATATATTTTGATTGTCATCTCTTCCTCTTGGACTATGCCCTTTACAAGAATGCAGTGTCCTTCTTTGTCTCTCTTAATCGGTGTTGGTTAGAAATCCATTTGATCTGCAAAGAGGATAGCTACTCCTGCCTTTTCTTCAGGTTCCTGTCTGATGGGGTATTGTTTACCACCATTTAACTTTCATTCTATGAGTTTCTTTTTGAACTACATATGTTTCTTGTATGTAGCATATTGTTGGATCTTAACCCATTCTGCCAGTCTATCTTTTTTGATTGGTGAATTGAGATCATTAACATTGATGGTTATAACTGATATGTACTGACTTATCCTTGCCATGACTTTTTTCTTTTTGTTGGATTCTCCCCATTTACATGTCATTTCTTGTGCTGCCTGGTGGATTCATTCTGCTGGGCTTCCTGGGGTTTTGATCCTCATTGTATTTTCCTAGGATATTGTTTAAATTTTTTTGGAGTGCTGTTTTAGTATTCAGAAAGTTCCTAAGGTGCTCTTTGTCATGAAAGTGTCTTAGTTTTCCATCAATCTGAAAGATAATTTTGCAGATTACATCACTCTGGTTGGAGGTTATTTTTCTCCAGGGCTTGAAATATGTCACTTCAGGCTCTTCTTGCCTTGAGGATTTGTGTTGAGAAGTCTGCTATGATTCTGATGAGCTTTCCTTTGTATGTGATTTGTTTCTTTACTCTAACTGCTTGTAGAATTTTTTCTTGTGTTGGGTTCCTAGAATCTTAACTATTATATGCCTATCTGTAGATATTTTTTTTAATCTGATGCTTTGCTTATCTGTATGTTAAGTTCTTTTCCCCTACTTGGGAAGTTTTCTGCCATTACGTCTGTGAACAGTTTTTTTTTTTAATGTCATCCATACTCTCTCCTGTTTCTTCAATGACTCCATCAGTCTTATGTCATTCTTCTTTGCCTTGTCTGGCAGCTGCTGGATGGATTTCTTATGGTCCCTTACTATTTTTAAGGTATTTTTCTTTTCCTGGTCACCAATTGCAATTCTATCTTCTATATCGAAGTTCTGCCCTCACATTGGTTCATTCTGCTGTGTAAACTTTCCATTGAGTTCTTAATCTCCTGGAAATCTATTTGCATCTGTTTTATGGATTCCATTTGTTCCCTATGTTGGAATTTCATCATGTTCCTCAGCTCCTCTATTTTTTTTATCTGTGTCTGCTCTAGATTTATTAATTTTTCACTATAGGCACAATCTCTGCTGTTATCTGAGAAATTATTCTGATTTCATTTTTTCCAGGTCCTCTTTTGTTGTGGTTGAGTATCATATTGTTCCATCTCATTTCCCTTTGGGTCTTTAGGTGATCTGGAAGTCTGGTTTTGGGACTCCTTTCCGTGTCTTCTCATTTCAACGGAGCAGCCCTCAGCACCTTTGTTGGGGCAACTTTTTGCTCACCCAATGGTCTTCAATTCTCAGCAAGCCACCGAGTGGCCTTTCCTCTGCTGCTCATCAGCGCATTCAATCCTGGGTTTAGAATGGTGGCCTTCTGGATCCCTGAGCTGACCTGTTGTCTAAGCTGGGTTCTAGCTGGGGCCTGTGCACACTTGGGATGTTATGTAGTTGTGCCTCTGGCTATGGCCTGCTCCCCTATGTAGCTGTTGTCTGGGAGAGTCTTTGACTGGGGTCGGTGCACCTCAGTCCCTGGTGTCTGAGCAGGTTCTGGTAGGGTTTCTATGGACTTACTGGTGGTATTGGGGTGGGCCTCTGGCTGATGCTTGTGCACCTTTGCAGCTCTTTGCTGGGTGGGCCTTTGGCTTGGGCTTATGTGACCAAGCTGCTGTAGTTGGGATGGGGCCTTGGCTGGCTCTGCCTGCAGAAGATCTCTGGTCCACACTAACGCTCTCTATTCCTCTCTTTTATACATCAACCATGAAAATTAATCTAAAGTTGTATCTTGTATCTTAAGGTATCACACTAGGTTCCCCTCAACAAGGGTTGTTTCATAGACTTTTTAAAATTAATGTTGCTGTTAGGATATTAATTGGACCCAATCTCCCTGTATCCTATTTCACTGTGCACTATAATCCACACCCCATTCTTTCCTCAATTCCCTTCTCACACACTTACAATTCTTTCAATCCTCCCTCTTTTTGCTTATATATACAAACTATTATTAAAACCTAAGTTTTCCTATTTCAGAGTGTGTGTAAGAGGCACATGTTTGTGAGCAACTGTACATGAGTGATATCATTTCTGTTTCTACACTGTCTTACACTGACTTGTCAGGTTGTCCTTCCCCAAAGTCACTGCCTAGGTCTTCTAACATAGGATTTTTATAGTTTAGTTTATAACTTGGATATAATATCCATAAAGAGCTCTCAGATGATTCTAGAAGAACAAACCTAAGAATTACAGATGTCAAGGAAGGGGCAGAGAAGGCAACTAAATGTATAAAAAATGTATACACCAAAATCATTCTAAAAAACATTCCAAATTTAGAGATGAAAATGGATATCCAGGTAAGCAAGGCATTTAAAACACTAAATAAACACAACCAGAATAGAAACTCTCCATGGCACATCACGATTAAAATCCCAGAAATTCAGAACAAGAAAGATATATTAAAAGCTATTAAACTAACACCAAGTAACTTACAAAGAGAGGTAAGCCTATAACAGCAGATTTCTCAGAATAAATCTTAAAGGCCAGGACAGTTTGGAGAGAACTTTTCAAATCCTAAAGGAAAATAATTGTCAACCCAGATTACTATATCTTAGAAAATTATTGTTTGAAATCAATAAATAGAGAAATAAAAACTTTCCATGACAAACAGAATCTAAAGAAATTCATGACCAACAAATCTGAATGGTAGAGAATATTTGAGGTAATTCTAAAAAAAAAAAAGGAAGAGCAGTATCACAAAAGAGACCAAACGAAAAAAAAATATCTCATGGAATGAGTACTTAAAAGGAAAAATAGAAATGTCACCCCAAAAATACAATACAATGAAATAATTTTTAAAATAATACTCAATATAAATGGTCTTAACTGCATAATCAAAAGAAAGATTGGCATATTAAGCAAAAAAATAAAAAATAAAAATAACTAGATGTTGCCTGTAAGAGACACACTTCATTCTCAAAAGGGAGAAAAAGACTAAAAATGAAATGATGGAAAACTATTCATATAACTGGAGCCAGAACAAGCAAATGTAGCTCTCCTAATATCATACAAAGTGGATAAGACAAAACTAATAAGAGACAAAGAAGGTTGCTATATATTATAAAAGGAATGGTATAACAAGAAAAAATTGTAACTCTATATTCACCAGAAGGAGGTGAACCTAATTTCATAAAATAAAAACTAATTGATATAATAGGACAGACAGACACTAATACAATCATAGTGGGGGACTTAAATAACGCATCCTCACAAATAGGTAAACTAAATAACTCCTTAAGAAAGAAATGTCAGAGTTTAATTAAATCACTGAACAAATGAACAGATGGCTACAGAAGGTTTTATCCAACAACAGCAAGCTATTTTATGCGTAAAATCCTCTAATCAAATCAAACCCCTAGACATGGAACTTGTAGGAACATAAAAATGTCACAGTCACCTTTGTAGCCCAACACCCACCACATACTCAACAAGAAAAGCTCTATGTTCTACCCTACAACAAAATAATTCTGATCGTATACACTATATTAAGAGACTTTCTTAAGGACGTGCCATGTTCTATTAGCATAAGAATATCGTGGTCTAAAATAGCAACATTATATATGATAAAGCTTACTTTAGAAAAGTCATCAATGGCAAGTACTAGGTTCTCTTTTTCATACATTTCTCCCCTCCTGAAATAGATATCAGCATCTGTGGGTGTGCACTTAATTGCCTGCGTATAGTTTAGAATACTCAAAGTAATGTTGTTGTTTTTCCTGTAAATTTCAGCCTTAGACAAATACACATCTAGTAAAAAAAATTAAAAATAAAATTCAGCGTAACAATTCTTTCAAGCATGTTTTTCAAATTAATAACTTTCCCTCCAAAATTGTAGTCTCAAACAATTGTCATTTAATTTTCTAAAATTTCAATAATGCCAAATTTGTTCTCAAATAGATAATCTTGTGACTAAAAGTACTCTCAATTTGAAATGACAAATATTACCTTTTTTTACCTGTCTAAAATGTTTCGTTATCTTTTAGTGATATTAGTAAAAAGATTTTGATGGCACAAAATTTCATGGAATTTTAGTAGAGAGATTAGTATTGGTCAAAGACATTTATTAAGCTCATATTACATCTGTGAGTATGTGGTGTGCTGGGCTACAAAGGTGACTGACATTTTTATGTTCCTACAAGTTCCATGTCTAGTGGTTTGACTTGATTAGAGGATTTTTTACATATGGCAAGGTTATCGATTTAATCCAACCAAGAAATCCCAGAAATATTACAACTCTCATTCTAAGATCTGTGGTCAAAAGATTTGTAATTCTTCCATAATTCTAAAACTAGAATTTTAAGTTCATATTCTTGTGAGATGAGCACAACAGTTCAATGAACATTTCAACCCAGGATGAGTATTCTGATAATAATACAGGATTGTCTGAAGCCTGCATTTACAATACTAGGAATAAACAATTTATCTGGGGAAAGTCACAGCATTTGTACATATCTATTGATTTATGTATCTTTTTATAACCATAAATGACAAAAATTGATACTAAAAATACACATAATTTAACTGAATCCCCAGACAACCCACCTGCATTATTTTTATTATATTTGCTTATATAATTCAAGTCATCCAAAGCCTCATTAATTTTGTCTTCAAAAAGATAAATAAAATGCCGGTGCCAATAGGCATTGAGGAACAATGGCTCTAAGAGAATAGCCTAGGAAACATATATTTAAATTCAGTAAAAGTTGATTTGTCAAAGGAAAAGATCTTATTAAATAAATTTTTCAAACACTATTTATCCCCATGTTTTGCATATGCATAATATAAAACCTCCAATCCAACAAGGAAACATCTAGTGTTTTAATACTAATTATTTGAAAATGCCAATAATTGTATTTCACAATCCTATATACTATAATACAATAATAATTCATTATTCAAAATTCCAGTTAAAATACTATATAATTAAAAGCAATGCAAATAGCGAACATTGGCCTTTTACATAAAACTTACTTCCTGTAGATCATTCATGGCACTCTGTAACTTGCCCAGTTTCCTATAAATTGCCCCACGTCTACAATATGCAAATGCAGGCAACGTTTTCCTCTCATTAATTTCTTCAGTCAAGATTTCCACTTCAGACTCATAATGTTTTATGGCCTCTGGTGGGAGATCGCATTCTAAAGAATCATTTAATTGTACTTTCAGTGGCCGTTCTGTGCTTTCAGGGAGGTCTCTCTTTTCAGGCATTTCAACAACCTTTGTGGCTGTTTTCTGAAGTTTATCCTTAAAGAGTGTATCACAAACCTGCATGTGAGGGTCACTATGTTTTACCATTTCTCCCTTCCTTTTGACAAATTTATCAAATTCTAGAGCCATAGGTAAGCTGGGACTCCGAGTTAGACATTCATATAAGGGAACTTTGAGAAAATATTTCTTTTGTCCAGGAAGTATTCCTTGAGATTGTGACCTAGGTTTAAAAGGAGCAATCTTTTAAATTATAGAAACATGATCCTTCAAGTCAATAAATCAACTTAGTCACACACAAAATTACTAGTTCTCTGTTATCAAAATAAAATTACATGCTAATTTTATGTAACCTGTCTACTTTTTCATTCATTAAAATTATAACACTGAATGAAGAATCTCTGTCAAGTTTATAAAAGCAAAATTGACTATTTCTAAAGAGGTATTCTTCCAGAGTACTGAAATACTGGGACAGTTCTTTTAGGTTTAATTCACACCCTCTATACTCTATACCCTATAACCTCTACCAGTGGAATTATGATATGGAATTAAAAAGGTAAATATGATGTGGAGAAGGAAATACCACCCCAGAGGACATACAAGGTGTGAAATTAAAGAAGCGGGAATAGCTAGGAGTGAGAAGGGCTTGTAAACCCAGCATTTGGGAGGCAGAGGCAGGAGGATCTCTGAGAGTTTGAGGCCAGCCTGGGCTACATAGAGAGCTCAAAGCCGGCTTGAACTACATAACAAGACCCTGTAAGGAAAAAAAGTAGGAATAATGAAGGAGCTGATAAAAATCAAACTACAGAGTAAACACCCCAGACCTCACAGTTCTCCAGTGAACCACCAAATTAGATAATACAGAGTATGTTTTCAAATGCTGCAAATTGTGATTCTTCTCTTAAAATTCTTCACTGGCAACACGGCTTTCATCTTATTAACATATATGGTATGTCTGGCACTACACTACCCAGGACAGGATAATCACAGTGGAGTGGAAGAATAAAACATTTTCAAAGCTATCATTCTGTATTTACTCAGTATACACTATAAGAAAAACTAATGGCTAAACACTAGTAGATGAGGTAAGAAAAGTCCATTTTCTTCCCTTCCATTACTTTCTTACACTCTCCATCTCTCTTCACATGTTAGTGCTGCAAGCCATCATCATCTATTCTGCATGGAGTACAATAACTTTTCAATTCCCTGCTTCTACCCTTGCCCACTGAACAATCTGTTGTCCTCCATAGGACATTCAATAGGTGTTTTAGAAATGAAAATTGTGTTACTGTCTCCAAAAGTTTCTCCTAATACTTAGAACACAAATCAAGCTTATCACTGAGCCTGTGGAGTCCCGCACGATGAGGACACAACATAGATCTCTGATACCACTACTCTCCCCTCCATTCCCCATTCTTCAGGCACATCATACAGAACGATCTTCATGCATACTGCACTTTCTAGCCCTTCTGACTGGCTTCACATTCCTGACCAAATGTCGTCCCATAAAGAACTTTTGTGTGTAGTGTTTTGTTTGCACTCTATATTTAATGCCACCATTTTCCACCTTGATCACTGCCTTGAAAAATAATCTGTACAGGCTATATCCATAAATTCCCTTGTCTTGTTTTCTCATTCACTGTGTCCAATTAGGAATTTCAGTGAAGGGAAAGAGGAAAATCAAGTCATGATATCTGTTCCTCTGGCTCCTTCATGAAGGAGCATGTCAAACTGCTATGACCATTGACCAAAGATCACTACTTCCTTCAAGGAAACCTTTTCTATACAACTCTTCTTTGTGTGCTCTCTGAAGGGGAGTAAGGATGCTGCATTATCATCACTTGTGTTTTCCATATATCCCCAACTTTCTAAATTTCTCCTGAATCATACTATCCCAAAATATCCTAAGCTGAGAGTGCCACTTACTACTAGGGCCAGACGGATGTGGCAATCGGTATAGAGAGGACTCAGGAAAGACGCATGTAAAGGATTTTAGAATAACCTCCTCCTCAGAAAGGTAAAATTAGACACAGGTACAGTTCATGGTATGTGGTAACATCCAAACTTCTCAAGTTATGATCAGTACTAGCAAGGGATGTCTAGATAAAGCTCAATCCACTGGAAATTCAAGTAGCTACCACTTAGTAGAACAATAATGATTAAAAACAATGTGCAGTCATTGAATACTTCTTTCAGACCAAAGGAATAGTTGAAGTACCTGTTAAATATCCAATCTTGTACACCAAGGTAATGATGCTATTGATGCTGAAACGTAAGGTGTGAACACGCAGGCAGACATAAATACAGGTGAAAATTTTACACCTTGACTCTCTCTACTTACTGGCCACCATGCAATAAATATGCTTTTCCTCCATGTCCCTCTGCCATCGTGTCCTGCCTTGGAGCTAACCAGTGATGCACTCAACCAAAACAAATTTTTCCCCCTTTAAATTGTGAGTGTTGGATATTATGTTTCAGTAACTTGGAAAGTGTCTAAGACATAATCCAAATGGGAATAATAAAATTCTGGGATGGAAATTCCAGCTAAAATCACTTTGCCTCATGGAAGACACAATTACGACAAACCACAGAGATGGAAAGATAGTAACAGAATTTTAACTTGCAAGGCTCTGTAGTAGTAACTAAATCACCACAAACTCTCAGAGAGACAGGCATCTTAGAAAGGTATTCTTTAACTTACATAGGTGAGAAACCTCTGAGTCTTCTAGAAGCAAACCTAACTGGTATAATGTGGGTTCACCTCTTACTGAGCTGTCAGACCTAAGTGAGTTTGCAGTCTGCAACCTCTCACTTGAGAGGAAAGCCAGGCCACTGAGAAAAGTTACTGTCATGTGATTCAGGTGCTTAGAGTGAAATTCCTTTCACTCTAAAAACTTTCCAAAAGTTCAAAAAAAAAATCTCTGTGGTCTTTAGACACTGTCCCTAAACTTAGGCTTAGTCACCAAAATCTACTTTGGGTGCCATCGAAGTCCATTAGTGAATTATGAAAGTCAAATTAGGGAATTATGCAAGCCAAATGCTAGAAAGAGTCTTGGCCTGAAACTAACTAATAGTGGATGTAATGGGACTGGGGAAGTTACAGTCTACTTACTCTGGAGTTCAGCCTAGACATTATGCAGGATTGTGTTAGGTGACAGTTAGGATACAAATTCTCGCCTCTGCTATGTAAATGTAAACTTCCCCTTATTTCCTAAATTATAGGAATGGAAAAGAAAGCATGTCAGGTCAGCACCTGCAAACCAGATGCCAGGAATTTTTTTTCAGTAAATATACCTACCATATCTGACACTAAAGTTTGATTGTCAACACCTCCTGGTTAAATTTGTAATAATTTACAGTCAAGTTCTACAAGCTATTTGGATTTTGTTTTGGCCAAGCAGGAGAATAACATGGAGATGAGGTAGGAATTCCCACTTTCATCTTTCAAGTCTCTAGTGGTGCACTTAATCTGTAATTTCCCCCAGTGTCTTTGTGGAAGTTAGTGGGAGGGGATGAATATAGTTCCAGAGATTTCCACTTGGCCTGTGCTACTTCAATCTATACATCATTCAGTTATGAAGTTTATAAACTCCTATTATGTATTCTAAGAAAATTATCACACAATGGGTCCTTGTTCTAGTAGGTCCACTGCTAGATGGTCTCAGGCCAAGATTCTTACAGATATATGTGCATTAGAAAAAAAATCAAATATAGAAGTTTATAAAGTGAAAAGCTGAAAGTCTCTACCTACCCACCAACTCTGTGTAATGACTGCAGCAGTTTGATGTGTTTAATTTTAGGCTTTCTATATAGATACACAAATGCACATTTTCCACTATATACATGCATATACATACAGATGTGTTAAAATATATTCCCTCATAAACATCCAAAAATATGTTCACTGTGACTTAATGCTAGCACTAATGTATTTTCTAAATTTTTCACACAATGTATGTACTCTTTTTATATCAAATAAATATATTTTAAGGAAAGAACAAGAACACCACAACTTTCTAGAATAATGTGAAGAGCAAATGCAAACAGTGAAATTTTATAAGAAAAAGTTAGTCCCATATCAATGAAATTAAAGTGCAAATCTTCCTAAATGATCAGAAAAGAGGACTTGCTATTTACTTCCATACCAAAAGGAAAATATTCTTCATGTATTGCAAGACTAGATCAATGTTTTCATAGCCATGAGTACAGTTCATGGTTTCTTGTTTGAAGAAACCAAATTAAGTTAACATCCTACTTTACATGCCAGAATGAGAAAGCTAGTCTCTCAAGTTGAAAGATGTGTACACATAATTAGCTGGCGATGAGCTGTAAGACTATTTGCGGAAACAGAAATTTTACACAGTTTAAATGTTGTGCTCAGTACGCGCAGTTTGTGTAGGAATAAGGTCAGTTTTAGTACCAGAATCCTGGAATCTTTGAGCTGCAAGTTATTTCAAAAATAATCTAGATAAATTCCTTATCTTCCAAATGGGAAAACAAACAGTAAAATAAATTAAGTAGTTTGGCCTGGCCACCAAAGACCTAACTGAACAGGAAGTGGAATAGAAATAGCCAGTCCCTAGTTCATAGTCCTTCTTGCTGGAACACAACTGCCTCTAGCTCTTACAGAAGCACAGAAACAAATGAAAGCCAAATACTCCAGATGAGAGCTCCTAGTGAAGGACTAAAAACAACTAAGGAAAATATGTGCTCTGCTTGGGGGTAGGGAGAACAGGTAAATTCTGCCACTCTTTGGGGATGTTGCAACAAATGGTGGGCTCAGAAACCAGGACTGAGACCACAGGGGACTCAAGGGAAATGCATGAGTCTGAGTCTTTAAGCAGCTAAACTGGCCCTCTGCGGGAATTACTCTCCACACTCAAGATTTGACTTAATATTTGAGAACATGTAATGTGCAGCCCACTCCTAACCAAAAGTGAAATAACCAAGAATGTCTGTGACTCAGTAAGCTTAAAGGTTGTATATAAAAGGGTAAGAAGGATATTTCTGAGTTAGCAAGTTCAAATTAATAAACGATACATTCTGGTTCTCATTTACACTTTCAGTTTATCACACAGAGACACAATTCAGTTTTACACATACGTGACCTATTTATTTCACTTATGAGTATGGCCTCAATATGCATCCATTTAGCTATAAATGTCTCTAATTTATTATTATTTAAGGTGAAATTACAAAGGACATCATTACATTTAGAAAATTACTAGTAACTACTTCAAAAACCTATATTTCAATAAATTTGAAAACCCAGAAAAAATGGATAGATTCCTAGATATATATGAATTACCAAAACTAAACCAAGAAGACATTAAACCCCTGAATAGTCCAATAAAAATGAAATTGAGGAAGTAATTTTAAAAACTTAGCAACTAATAAATGCTCAGACAGTGATATACGTGCACCTATGTTTATAGTGGCACAGTATGTAATACCTAAAACTTGGAAACAGCCCATTTGCCCATCAGTTGGAGACTGGATAAAGAAGATGTGGTTTATGTAGTAATACACTCAATGAGAAAAAAAATAAAAATAAAATGAATCTTTTAATCAACTATTCAAAAAAAAAGATGTGGTTTTTCTATAAAATGGAATACTACTCAGCCATAAAGAATGAGAAATTAGATTCATTCATAGGAAAATGGATACATATTGAGGATATATTCCTAAGTGAAATAAATAAGTCACACATGTGCAAACACCGAATAGTTTCTCTGGTGTGAAAAACTATAATAGTACATAAGATCCTAATGAGATAATTGACAATATGAAATAGAAAAAAAGGGGCTAAAGGTGTAGGGAAAGTTGGAAGGGTAGGGGAAAAGTAATAGGGGGAAAGAAAAAATATGAGAAAATGAAAAAATGGAAATAAAGTGTTTGTAAATGGGGAGGGATGGAGGGAGTGAAGGGAGGGCAGGGACAAGAGGAAAAATGAGAACCACGACCTGTAGTGTAAAGGTAGAAGATCCCAATAATGAATGTGACTGTACTGTATACCTAAAATGTGCCAATAAATTCAATGTGGAAAAAAAAAAGAAATGCTCATAACCTAATTGACTCACCACTGAATTCTACAAGAGCTTCAGGAAATATCGAATGCCAATACTCTTCAAATTCTTTAATAAAATTAAAAGCGGAAAAAGTACTACCAAACTTGTTCCTGGAAGCTAGCATTACCTTAATTGCAAAACCAGACAAAGACTCAACTAAAACAAAAAAGGCCAATCTCAGTAAAGAATATTGATGCAAATATCCTCAACAAGAGACCAACAAAGAGAATTCAACAAATCATTTTAAAAGATAGTACATCATGACCAAATAGGCTTCATGCTAGGGATGCAAAGATAGTTCAATATACACAAATCAATAAGTGTAATATATCACATAAACAGAAGCAAGGACAAAATTCAGATGATCATCTCAACAGATGGGGGAAAAAACCACCTTTGACAAAATCCAACATCCATTCTTTATAAACAGCCTGAAGAAAATAAGACTAGAAGGCCCTATCTCAATGTGATTAAAAAAAAAAAAAACTATGAACCTACTGCCAACATAATATTAAATGGGGAAAAATTGAAAGCTTTATTTCTAAAACCAGAAACAAGACAAGGATGTCCACAAACATTATTCCTACTCAATATAGTACTTGAAATTTTAACCAGAGCAATCAGATAAGAGAAAGAAATAAAATGGATATATGTAGGAAAGAAATAAGTCAAACTACCCTTATTCTCAAACAACATAAACCTTTAAATAGAAAAAATTTTTAAATCTACCTAAAGACTCCAAAAAGTAATAAATTTAGCAAAGTAGCAGGACACAAAATCAACACACAAAAATAGGTAGTATTCTGCACAGCAATAATGAAACCAGCAAGAAAGAAATAAGAAAAATAGTATCATTCATAATAGCCTGAAGAAAAGTTAAATACTTAAGAATTAAACTAGCAAAGGAAGTGAAAGACCTTTACAATGAAAACTTTAGTATTCTGAAAAAAGAGATCAGACAGGATATAAGGAAATGGAAAGTTATCCCCTGGTTCCTAGATAAGAAACAATACTGTCCAAATGCTCATAGTTCCAAACGTAATATATAAATGTATTGAGATCCCAATCAAAATGATAAAAACATACGTAACAGAATTAGAGAAAATAATCTTAAAATTTCTATGGAGACAGAAAATACCTAGACTAGCAAAACAAATTCTAGGCAACAAGAGCAAATTCCAGATTTCAAGTTATATTTCAAAGCTGCAGTGATTAAAACAGCATAGTATAGGCATAAAACCAGATGTGTGGATCAATGAAGCAGAACAGAGGATACAGAAACAACTCCAGGCACATTTAGCTATTTGATCTTTGACAAGGAGGCCAAAAACATATACAGGAGGAAAGACAGCCTCTTTAATAAATGATGTTGGAAAAACTGGCTATCCACTTGCAGAAGACTGAATCTAGATCCATATCTTTCATCATGTACTAATCTAAAATCAAAATGGATCAAAAATCTAATGTTAAACCAGAAACACTGAACTTGCTGGAAAAGTCATACTAGGTAAAACTCTTGAACTCACAGATGAAGGCAAGAACTTTCTGAACAGAACCCAAAATACACAAGAAATCAAATTTTTAAAAATCAGTAAGTGGGATTATATTAAATTTTAAAAGCTTATTCACAGCAAAGGAAACAATCAACAAAGGGAAGTGACAACCTCCAGAACAGGAAACAAATTTTCAAAAAATATTTCTCAGACAGAGAATTCAATTTTTCTAAAGTTTTTAAAGAAAATAAGAAAGCTCCACTAATGTAGTGCTGAATAAATACCACCACAATTGCTTTACTTGCTTCCACCAAAAGACTTATACTCTGATTTCCATGAAGCCTGTTGGCAGCATACACAAATATTAAATTAGGGCATGAAAAGGCAAATAAATCTCTTAAAATGGCAAAACAGACTGAAAATGTTGTACTATGGGCAGTACAACAATTGACAGCAGCAGCGTTTCATGTGTTTCATCTTCGGATCTAGATAGAAGTTACCTAGGTCATAGCAGAAATGGCAATGTATCCTTTATCAGGATGGACAAAGCTCATAATACTTTGAAATCAATTTTTAAAAATCAAATACATGTAAAGAAACTTCTGATTCTGATCTAAAACATCTGTTAATTTAGAAAACTCTGCCCAAAACCTGCTAAGAATGCGTCAACAAAGCTTCTAGATACTACTTTTGCTTCAAGGGAAACTTCAGCCCATATAGCATACGAAGAACTTGGGACCTGTGAGACATTTTCCACTCCCACTGGCTTGAGTCCCACTCTGTCCTTCACACTCATGAAGTATTGTTCCCCAGGCTTCTCAGACAGATTAAGTCATCAACGACAACAGAACATGGTAAACCCTCTGCAGAGCCAGCCATCTCTTTATAACAACGAAGGGAACAAGTCATTACTTCTCAAAAAGGTGTAAGTTCAATAAACTTTAACAATCATGAGATATCTAAAGAGAAATAAATCCCAGAGCTTTTTTGGAAACTATATGTACTAAAGATACTCTCGTTATGAGAAAGTTACGTCCTAAATATTGAAACTTGAACATACATGGAATTTCAGTTGTTATTATTTTAGGTCCCTCCATATTTTTAAATATTCAAACTGCTATTACCTCCATCTAAGGAGAAAATTATTTTTGTGGGTTTATCCCTGAAAAAGGGGCTCACTGCATACAAAAAAAACTTGTCTATATTCTTTACTCAATTCAATAAAAATTTATAATTTGAAAATGGGTAAATTCCAGCAAGCTATTTTGATTTTTGAACAGGTGATACTTATTTGGAGCAAGGACTGGTTTATGTAACTAAATCACTTTAACAAACAAGTTGTTAGATTTTCTTTACACTGAGAGACATCATTCATCCATCAAATTGATGAGTCTTATTTTATGTCTTACACTTTATAGTTTGAACCAACCACATATTTATACTATGAAACATCCGTATTTTTTTTTAAATGAAGGATTGATCCTTTAGTTTAGCAGATGTTCAATGACGGAAAAAAAAGAATATATTCATTAGGTAAAATTAAAAATTAAGGCCAAAACTGCAATATATTTCTTCAACTATAAAAATAAAAGACTGAACAGACCTTGTAAGCAAGTTTGGAGGTTTAGATAACTCTTTACATACAATTGTAAATTTTTCAAATTTCAGTGCTTTCTTCCATTTCATCTTCTTTTTCTTGGGATAAACAATGTAACTAATGCCTTCTTGTTTTGATGCTTCAACGAGAGAGCGCGACAGATCTTCTGAACTGTGTTCTTCCTGAATGGTGTCTAAGATGGCGTCTATATTTTCTTTCACGGACGTGGGAGGCTCCTCCGTTTTATTTCCCTTAGCAAGCTGGTGCTCCAACGCCTTTGCTTTCTGGAACATCACTGCTTTCATGTTGCTTTGCATGTCATCCTTGATTTCTGTTGGTGCAATGGCCTCCTTCTTCCTCAATTCAACTGCGGATTTTGCTCTCTTTATAAGGAAAAACAGGTTAAAATATATATATATATAGATATATATAATCAATTTAGTTGATCTACTTTTAAAATTAATTCAGTTTCAGTTTCTATTAATGAGTTTGGACATTTTATTGAAATTTGCTTAAACCATATATTCTTAAAATTACTGAAAAATCAAATTATAAAGTTATGGTGGTTGAGTTACATCATGCAATGTAATCTGGTCATGTGATTGTTAACTACCTATGAACGCTACAAAACAGATGCATATCATGATTTTATATATTGTTATTGAGAAAATGACCTCTACATATCCAAAAAGTAGATATTCTACTTTTCCTTTTAATGGAAAAACCCGGTTAAAAGGGTTAAAGACTATTATAATATCTTATTCTATTAAAATCAGTTTGAGTCTATTATTAAAAGCACTTTAACATTAAATTTCTATACAAAACTATTTACATATGCTCTACAATAACTTTAATTCAATAATTAGAAGCTTAAGGAACAGTAACAGAATCCTATTTTATTATTTAATCTAATAATTATAGAATCAACCTAATATTTAATTATATTATTATTTAATATTAAAGTATTCATAATTACAACTACGTTGTAACAATTATATATAATTTTAGAAACTCTCATATTAAAAACGAAAGAAAAATCATTTCTGTTTTTTGATTTATTATTCCCTGCCTGACCCAAATTCCAAACAGCAATTCATATAAGCTAGTTGTGTATTTAAAGCACAGCAGAAATACTGTCTTTGACTTTCTATATTCCTCCATCTCAAGAAACTATATTTAACAGAAAATGCAATTAGAATAGGGAACAGAGTGTAGAACATATTTGTGAGTTTTTCTTTTTAAGCTTAAAGTGTTTATTATTGTTAGAACTGTAAATACTTCTTTTGGACAGTAAAAACTGGAAAGTCACAATACCTTCAGTTGTACGGATGGTGTACTTAAATGTTGGATATTTTCAAATGATAGACATTTTCTTAGTAAGAAAGACTGTGAAATAATCAAATGAGAAATATACATTAATCAGAGCACTACTTGGTAAGCTACAATATCATGTGACAGTTTGCTAATGATAACTATTTATGTAATTAGTGAAATACAGAATAATTGAAAGGTAGTTTCTTACTGATTTTGAAATCGCTGCCTTCATAGAGAAAAACCTGAAATCTGCAAAATAACTTAGCAACGTGTGTAATAATGAGGATCATCCTATTTTTAAAATTCGACTCGAAATAACAAATATCAAGCACCTGTTATGTGCACAGTGCTCTGGTGCAAAGCTCCCCAGTTAATATGAGTGACACAGGTCTGTGTGAATGGGCCGCTAAACAGTTACCTCTATCATGAGCTGACCTTTTACTTCAGGGAATACACACAAATAATAAGACCACTTACTCTAATGGAACCGAGACCGGTGCCATTACCTTAACAGAACTGGAAAGCAATACCATTCCAGACTGAAAGGTACAAAGAAAGGGCTAAGTTTCATGGCCTCAAACAGTGTGATAGTGAGAACAGCAATAAAGCTATATCTTTAAGACAAAGCAACTGTGGCGATGACTATTAAACTGGTATGGATCAAGTGCAAAAAAAATGTGGGGGAGGGAGAAGGGAATTTGCACAGGTGGAAACCCAGACAGAGCAGCAAGAAGAGGTAGCATTAGAGCTGCTGTGTGAAGGCAGCAGCCTTTCCACAGCCTGTGAAGAGGCTGAGAACAAAGTAGGTCAAGGGAACAGTTTCAACAAGCACTAAGCAATGTCAGGACAGTAATCTTAGTCCACAAGGGCTCTGATTCAGGAAAGGCACAGGCAAACTACAGGGTTTGTGCAGCTTACACAGAAGAGTCAGTACAGTGGGAGGAAGTGAAATACAGCTGAGATCATGTACTGAGCTTGAGTTAGCACTCTGACTTCATTTTTTCTGGGAGGAGCAGTTATTAATTTTGTCGAGACATGAGTGACATAGTCATACCTGTGTTATAAAACTATAGCAGAATAGTTGGAAAGGGCAGCTACTAAAATTCAGAATATGTGATAGGTGCAAGTTGTCCTACTACAATCTAGAAAATGCAAATGGTTTTCCAATCTAGAAAATGTCACTTGATTTGAGTATTGTAAGTGACAGTCACTGGTCTAGGTCCTGTAGATAAAACAGTGAATGTGAATGATAGGACCTAGGATAGGGAGGAAGAAAAAGATCAAACATACATGAGGACAAGTATTTGACAAGTGCTACAGAAAAGGCAGTAAAACAGTGACCACATGAAAAACATTACAGCCCTCTCCAAAAGAAGAGTTCATATTCTCTGATTGTAGGGAGCAACAAGGGAGGTACACAGAATCATATGTAATCCAGTTAGCTGACCAGGAAAGGGTTTGATTTGTTTCTGGGCCCTAATTCTCTCTACTATGTGGCCTTTACTACTGTGATATCATCAAGAACTAATGAAACAAAAATAAAACAATTTCTCATTACCCACAAAGTTCAGGGCACTAATAAGCCAGTTACGTAAGTGTCATGACTCTTCTTTCAATCACTATTTCCTTTCCATCTAATAATGTTTATTACTTGATAAGCTTAGTTGGACACATTCTCATGATTCTGAAGTCATGAGTATGCATGCAACTAGTCACCTCTTACAGCTATGAGTCTTATCCAATTATATGGCCATAATCAGTTTTGCCATTTGTTCAAAAGGCTCATAAACATGTTCCATTAATCACTTGAGTCCTAGGCAAGAATGAGCAGAAAAGCTGGGAATTTTAGAAAAAATCACAGGGCACATTCTCCTAATGATTAATGAATACTTTCTTCTGAGTGTGATAAAGACAGCGTATTTGAGGAAAAAAAGAAATGTGTTCTCTACAAAGAAATTGACTAGTCTAAGCCATTTCCCAGAATAAGGAAGCATCACATAGTAAATTTGGAATTAAAAGAATTAATTTCCAAACTGTAAGGAGACATATTAACCAGCCCACCCTTCAAAATGAAAATCATACATACCTTAAAATTGCTATTATCATACAGAATGACACTTTCCTTGCTGTCAGCTAAAAATTTCTTAGTTAAAATTTTGCTTAGTTGAACACTCTGCAATTAAAAAATAAAATTTTAAACTATACTGTAAAATACTTTTTAAAAACCTATGGTCACTGTTACTTCATAATACAATAATGTTACTAAAAGAAAAAAAACCTATGGAAAGGACAGAATTCTAGAAAACCTTTTCCAAAAATGGATTAAAATACAGCAATACCCTTAGCATTTGGCCAAAACCTACAATTTGTCTTCGGCACTGGGGTAGCCAAATGGACAATTCTATATTATTTCTGGCATCATTAATGTGAGAAGTGATCACTGATCATATGATTCTTGTAGGTTAGCAATGAGTTTACTTAGAATATCAACATCAGGACTATGAACAAGACATTATCAGGATTTATTGTCCATAAGTATTCGTTGTCAAATATAAGGAAGTATTCTAATTGTAAATTGGAATGAAAATTTCCTTAATATCCTTAACTTTAAATTCTATCAGCCAACTAAGTTTTAATACAGGTATGTTTATGGTTGCCAAAATAAACTACTACGATAATAATTATTATTAAATGCACTATTTTATGTTATAATTAATGATTGGGACATAGAGAAACAACTAGAAGACCTAATTTGACAACCTAGTAGATTCATGATTAGTTAAACCATGCTATTCCTTTAGAGATAAGTTTAAGTAAAGAAATTAAAGGAGAAAATAGAAGTCACAGTCAAAATCATAAGAAATAAAATGAGAAAATAGAACAGTTGAAATCATAACTGGTAAGATTAAAAAATGCCAGAAATCACAATATGTAGTAAGTTAAATTTATTGTAAAAACTGGAGCAAAAATTCATTTAGATATCTGAATACCACTTCCCATTTAGAGGAACCAGGAGTCTTTGTTTTGTAATATTTTCCAATACCAGAGATCAAACTCTGGACCTTGCAGTTGCAAGGCAAGCATGGCACCACTGAGCTAAATTCCCAGCCTGGAGTCCAGAGTCTTTAAAGAAAAGGCTGATTCCATTCTTGTGAATAGAACTAATGAGCCTGAGTTATCTCAAGCTGGAAAGATTTATTGGATCCTTTTACTCCTGAACAGTAGGAACAGATAGCCTCCAGTACTGATTTTCTTTTGAACCTCATTTCTAGTGGGTTACTCCATGAACACTAGTGCTCACTAATTCAATTCTTGCTACAATTTCTACCTCTTTTCCAAAAATTTTGCCTACTCTTAATTCCCTATATTCACACATTTCTATAAACTGAGATGGAAAAATTCATGTGGTTGTTAGAAGCAAAAAATAAGACAGCTACAAAAATTAGATGTAGACATCTATCTAACAGACTCCCTACTGTCATCTCAAATAGAAGCACTTGCCACTGGTAAAGGATAAAGAGAGGTAAGAGGCAGGGGGAAACTTCCAACCATAATGCAGTTCTGATATCTGAGAAAAGGGATAAGAGAGAGCATTGTGGGGGAAGAGCTTCAGACTACAGAGCAGTCCTGAGAAAGAATGCCTTAGGCAGATGGAAGGTATTGAGCCAGAGCTATCCCACATCAAGGAGAAATGGATCAACTCTAGTAACAAGCTTATGTTTAGTCACTGGCTGGGAGCAGACCAAAGGAAGTATGGCCCTGGGGCGCATGGTAGCTGTAGATTCTGGCAGTCCAGTAAGATCCTCTCAGCAGATTCAAGTGAGAGAGAGGATAAGATTCCATGGATGCTACCCCTACTTATGCAAATGCATATTTAGCAAACTTTTGCATTAAAGTAATAGTTTTTAATATTTGGTGTTATTAACCTTCTCTTTTTAGCTCAAGGCATCTGTACACATTTTTCTTATATAAATAAAATTATTGGTCAGCACTTTTAAAAAAACAGGGAAATGCAAATGTCCGTACTCATCTTCCAAGGTTTCCAACATACGTATATTTGGACCAGAAATTCCAAACAGAAAAATATGTGTGTAAAGATATATGCTGTAGTGTATTTTTTAAAATAAGATGCAGAATAACATAAATTATGATTCCATTTCTGTAAAAACATTAATTTGCATGACCTAAATAACAATGGAAATTTCTGAATGGAACACAGAATGCATTTAAAAGTGGTTAACTTCAGGAAGAGAACTAAAGAGCACTGTTAAAGATGGAAAATGTTCTTTAGGCAATATTCATCTTCATTATTTAAACTTTTACTACAAGAAATTCCACTTGTACAACTTGGTTTTGGTTTTTTGTTGTTGTTGTTGTTGTTGTTTTGTTCTGTTTTTTTGAGACAGGGTCTCACTATGTAGTTGAGACTGACCTGGAACTCACTATGTAGCCCAGGCTGGTCTCGAACTCACAGCGATCCTCCTCCCTCAGCCTCCCGAGTGCTGGGATTACAGGCATGCACCACCACGCCCACCTTGTTTTTATTTTTGTTTTTTGTTTGTTTTTTTACAACTTGTTAAATACTTAGTAGGCCTTGCCATTAGAAATGCAACAATTAAATAATGATAGCTTAACAAAAGACAACATATTTTAAATTGCAACTACAAAATAATACTAGTAAGACCAAATTAAGTGTATGCTACTTATAAAGTATATTTAAAATAAAACAAAAAAATCAAAACCCAAATAAAATGCTCCAAAATACAAAACATAAAAGACAGGTTTGATATGCCAGAGTAGAATTCAAATTGAGTAATTTAAATTATTTAAATAAGTCAAATTGAGTAATTTAAAATTAATGGAGAAAAAATTATAAATTAACAAATTTAAAGCTCATAATAAAAATAAAAGTTTCTTATCTCATGAAATAAAAACTGTTAGTAAAACTGGAGGGAACACATGGACGAAAGTTTCATTGAAAAACCCTGGTTAATCAGTCTTTATTAGATCAAATGAAAGAAAGATGCTACATAAAAATGAAAGCATATCATTAAACCCATTAAATGTATTTTTTTCTCTTATTGAGTTTATTGGTACATTTTAGGTATACAGTACAGTTACACTTATCATTGGGATCCTGTACCTTTACGTGACAGGTCTTGCTTCTCATTTTGTCCCCTTGTCCCTGCCCTCCTTTCACCCCCTCCTCCCTTGCTATTTACAAATACTTTACAGTGTAATTGACATTGTGAAATAGGAAGAAACGGGCTAAAGGTGTATGGGAAGTGGGAAAGGTAGGGGAAAGGAAATAAGGGAAAAGAAAAAATATGAGAAAATGAAAGAATGGAAACAAAGTATTTGTAAATAAGGAAGGGTGGAGGGGGTGAGGGGAGGACAGGGGTATAGAGAAAAATGAGAACCAAGACCTGTCATGTAAAGGTATAGGATCCCAATGATGAATGTAACTGTACTATATACCTAAAACGTGCCAATAAATTCAATGAAAACAATTATTTAAAAAAAAGAATCAACAACTGGGATCCCATCTTTTTTTAAAAGCTTCTGCAGTATAAGAACCACAGACAGAGCTAAGAGACAAGCTACAATGTGGGAAAAAAAATTTTACCAGCTGTTCCTCAAAGGTCTACTATCTATAATATATAAAGAACTCAAAAAGAATCAGGACCCACAAATATAAAGACCCGATTCAAAACTGGCCGTCTGAAATGAATGGACATTTCTCAGACAGAGAAGTAAAAGTAGCAAATAAATATATGAAAAAATGTACAACATCACTGGTCACTCAAGAGATGCAGACGAAAACAACACTGAGATTCCACCTCACCCAGAAAGAATGGTTGCTACCAAGAAATCAACCAGTAACAAATGCTGGAGGGGTGTGAGGAGAAAGGAATCCTTCATTTTTCATGGTAGTGAAGCCTGGTGCTACTGTGGAAATCAATATGGAGATACCTTAAACAACTAGGATTAAAAGTCCCATTTGATCCAGCTATTCCCAAAAGAATTAAAAGAATCATACCACAGTGATATATGCCCACCCATGTTTATAGAGGCACAGTTTGTAATAGCTAAAACTTTGAAACAGCCTATCTGTCCATCAACTGGAGACTGGATAAAGAAGATGTGGCGGGGGCCAGGGAGTTAGCTCAGTGGTTCTGCGGTCTGCCTCGCAAGCACAAGGACCCAAGTTTGATCCCGGTATTAAAAAAAATTTATATAAAATGGAGTACTACTCAGTCCTAAAAAATGAGAAACTAGAGACATTTATAGCTAAGTGGATGCACATTTAGGACATAATCTTAAGTGAAATTAATAGGACACATGCATAAATACTGAATAGTTTCTCTGGTGTGAGAAACTGAAAGTGTAAATAAGAATCAAAATGTATAACTGATATTGTGCAATGGTCTAAAGATGTACGGAAGTGGGGGGTAGGTGAAAGGTACAAAGGGAATAGAAAAATAACAGAAAAGGAAAAAATGCAAACAAAGTCTTTGTAAATAGGGAAGGGTGGGAGGGGGTGAAGGGAGGGGAAAGGGGTAGGGGAAAAAATAAGAACCAAGACACATCATGTAAAGGTACAAGATCTCAATGATGAATGCAAATGTACTGAATATCTAAAAACTACCAATGAAGAAAAAAAATAGAATAAATGCACTGTATTTCTTGTGTTCATCTGATCTCAGGGTGTTACTGTTACTATTGCTATGTTTTCCTTATTGTTCTTTAACATTTTGTTTTGTCCATTTCTGATATATGAATTTTAGTAAGCTGCCTGAAATACTGTTCAAGTAAAATACTTGTAAATATTAAAAATTGATGTATGATCATTTTTACTGAACTAATTGTAAGAGAAAAAATATGAAGGAAGAAGAAAATAAAATAAAAAAGAAAGAAGTGAAGAGGCACAAAAAGGGAAAGATCCAAATGAAAGAAAATTGACCCAAAAATGGACAGAATTGTCTAACAAAGAATAATTAGATGATATTTTTGTTTTCTTCATTTGCTTTTCTAATTTAAAGGCAGGATAACAAAATGAGAGTAAGCAAACATTCTTGAGAGGAAAAAGGAGAATCAGATTAATAGTTATATCAGGGTTAACAAACATTACATTAAGAAGAAGTTCACTTTTAAAAGCAAAGGGTTCCAGAGACAGTGTTTCACCCAGGCTATAGCACATCGGTGGACTACAAACTAGTCTGGCTGAGAGGCAATGCAGAAGTCAATCAAAGGAACATCCCAGGGCCAGGGATGTAGCTCAGTGGTGCCGTGTCTGCCTAGCAAACACAAGGTCCTGAGCTCCACCACCAGTACTGCAACAACAACAACAACAACAACAAAATAATAATAATAATAATAATAATAATAATAATAAATAGATAGATAGAAATCCCACTACTGTTGAAGAATAACCAGATGATCTGCTCTGTGTTGGAGTGTCAGAACAAGGGCCCAGCAAATGAGTGTGTCCGGTACTGGTATGTACTATATAATAATAGCATTTATGCAGCTACCATCAAAGTTATCAACCTAATCCGTACTTCAAAAGCAAAGGGATGATCTTCCAATTAGTTGTTCGGTGTCACAATTGAATGTAACTGCATTGTTCAGCTTTTCTGTTGCTGGGACAAAATATCTGACACTTACAACTCAAAGGAAAGATTTATTTGACTCATGGTTTCAGAACTTTCAGCGATGGCTCTTGGCTCCAGGATAGAAACATCATGAAAGAGGGCATGACATCTGGGAAGCAAAGAGCATGGGAAAAGCAAGAAAGGAAGGAGCCAGGGACCACAAAGCGTCACCATGATCTTAGTCCTCCGAGAAGGTCCCAGATCCTCCTAGCCCACTCAGTTATGCAGTCATCAGTGGAAGCCCCTGTGGATGAGGTTAGTGCCCTCACAGCCCAGCCGCCTCTCCCACAATCTCTTACAGAGTCAAGCTGACAATTAAGATTAATTGGCACAGTAATCCATCCCCTATGAAATGGAGAGAGGACCTTAGCTCTCAACTGCGTGAAGAATGAATGAAACCTCAAAGCTCTTTTAAAAATGTAAAATGTGAAGCAAGCAAGCTACCAAACTAACTGCATTTTCATTATAAATATTTTCATAAGTAAGCAGACTTCTCAGTACAAATTAATCTCCAAGTATCCCAGAATCTACAGTGATAATTATTATCTAAGTTGTAATAAATGACATTCTATTTTCTTCAATTACCAAAAAGAAAGCAAATTAAAAATGCCATGAATATTCTGTACACAAGTCATGTGGCTTTATATCTCATAGCCTCGGTTATATAAAATATGAAACAGAATTTTTTTTGACTGGCTAAAGTAACATGGATGAGTATAACATTCTAAAGAAATATATGCTAGTCACATTTTCTATAAATACACAAAATTATAATTTTGTAAATATACAGACATATATTCATATACCTACATATAATACATACATACAGTAATTACATATATTAAATTCATATCATGCTATCCAATCAATCCTGTCCATGGCAATACTTGTCTGACAATTTATAATACAATTTATAATACAATGTCATAAGCAATCATACAATTCAATTATTAAATATCAATAATAATATGGAAAACTCATTCACTACATTACCTCATATTGTGGATATATGGTTTCCTTTATGACAGACTCTGGAACAGCAAATTTGGGTGCAGCTGGATTGCAAAACATTTTTATAAATCCTGGATAAGCAGACATCTTTAAAAATAACATTAAAAATTATTAGAAATGGCAACAAATAGCTTCTAGGATGAAAACAAAACAAAACAAAACAAAACAATCTGTCCAAATTGTTTCTAGTTGCTCAGAATGTGACCTGATTGGCTGCGTGACCTCTGATAATGAGGAAAGATGATTTTCATACCCATCAGACTATCAGAAATGTAAAATGAGCGACACCAAGGGATGCAAAGAAAGTGGAGAGATGAGTAAAAATGCACTGGAGGAAAACAGACCATTTGTGGAAAATGTACATGCCACATGTTCCAGCAATTTCACTTTCAGTTATATGTTCTGTGCAAAGTCTTACACAAGGACATGGAAAGTTAGGCATGGACAATTCATGGAGAAAATGAAATATATCAAAAACAAAGCCCAATCAGAGTGATCATTAATAGAAAAACAGATTAAGAAAACCTGGTATATTTATGTAATTAAATACAAAAAAGCCATTAAAACACAAAATTTGTGATGCATATTTAGGCCATAGAAACATAATATTAAGGATATAAAGTAAGCAAGTTTCAGAAAGGTGAATACAAAATTGACATTTATGTAAGTTTAGCTATAATACACAAAACTGTATGATTTGTTTAGAATCCCAGAGTAAAATGCAAATTATATGAAAACAATCTAACTGTATTAAAAATGTATAAAACAACCTCACTAATAGCAGTGGGGAGGAAGTTGTTGACCTCAGTAACAAAATAAGCAGAGGATATAAAACTACAATCAAAAGAAATTGTACATCAAGCACTGCATTTTAACTAATAACGTACCTCATAGGAATTATGAGTTAACAATTCTATTAACAATTTCTATAAATAGATACTGGAATTAAAAATTAAGTAGATCAATGGAGAATGGTACAAGGCTCCTTGTCATTATTCATATGGGAGTTTAAAGATAAGCAAGGGAAGAACCTAAAATAATCCATGTGGCCAGGTGTAGTGGTGCACACCTGTAATGTGCTCCCAAGGCTGAGGCAGAAGGATCGCCATAAGTTCCAGGCCAGCCTAGTCTAAGTAGTGAATTCAAGACTAGCCTAAACTACATAGTGAGGCTGTCTCACAAAAACAAATAAACTAGTTAATTAATTAAAATAAAATGATCCACATGGTAAGGGATTAGAGCTGGAAACATCAGCATGAACTTCTATTTAGCTTAATATACACAGAAATGTTTACATAAAGATGTAGTTATACACATGTATATTTATACAAATTTGTACACACACATTTATTTTCTTGTTGTTTTGTCAACAAGAACAACAATGGCCCAGTAGCAACAGGCACACCAACTGCAAGAGATTTTAGTTATATTCTCCAATTAGTAGAACCAGGGCTGCATGCAGAAATGGTTGATTCTAGGTCTAAGGCAGTAGGAAACACAAAAAACAAGCTCAGAGCAACTTATACTGCCTTGAATAAAGTTCTCAAAAATACAAAAACAAAACCTTGCAATGATGTAGTATATCCAAACAGACATAGGAGCCAACCGAAGGAGTTCACATCAGTCAAAGCTCAAACCATTTTAAAAGTGATAATAACTACAATAAAAACAATAATAATAATAACGTATGGACTATACCTCAAAGCATAATATAAGTACCCATGAATTATACTGATATAATTAAATAATAAATGAAAATAGACAAACTTCCTACACAGAAGAATTCTAAATAATTTTTGTAGCTACTCTACCCTCAAGGAGGTGTAATACAAATTCCTTACCCCTTAAGTGCTGAAAGTATGTATAGCAATTTCCTTCAAAAGGTACAATATAGAAAGGGGTAAAAAAGAAAAACTTCACAAGGAAGAAACCGATACATCACCTCACCAGGTGATCATGGCTAACACTTACGGTGATAAATCCTGGATATGGCAGGTGAAAAGAGAACTTTACTTCAGCGGTCTTCTTCCCAAAGTCTCATAACCCAAATTTAAATCAGGAAATCCCAAATGGGAGACATTCTACAAAATACCTGAACACTACACCTCAAAATTTTCAAATCATCAAAAAAAAGGGAAATCTGAAAAAATTGTCATGGCTAAAAGGCGCCTAAAGAGATAAGACAACTAAATGTAATGTGATATCCTGGATGGGATACAGAAAGAGAAAATGACATTATGGAAAAACTAAAAAGTTTGAGTGCTGTATGGACTTTAATAATAATGCATTAGTGCTGGTTTATTAATTCCTAAACTGTTATTAGTACATGTTTGCAGTGCCTAATGATTACATTCATTGTAGGGAATTGGTGTGCATATATAACACATCTCAATTCCTTTTTTCCCTTTATATTACTGTAGATGTTGTAAGTCTCCCAGGGATGCTGTTATGAATTACCTGGCTGGAATAAAAAACAGAAATTTGTTCTCTCACAATTCTGGAAATAGGGTGCAGGTCTGGACCATGCTCCCTCTGAGGACTTTAGAGAACTCTTCCTACCTCTTCCTAGCTCTTAGAAGTTACAGGAATCCTTGTGTTCCGTGGTTGTGACTGTACCACTCAGACCTCTGCTTCCATCAACAAGTGGCCTATTCCCTGTGTGTCTCTGTCTCACGTGGGGTTCTCCTTCCGTGAAGATACCAGTCCTATTGGATTTAAGCAGCCCCCCTACATCCAGCATGATTTTATCACAAGATTTGCAATTACATCTACAAACTCTCTATTTCTAAATATGATTAAATCCACAGAGCCATGGATTGAGTGCATCCTTTAAGGATCACTATATAT